CCCGCAAGCCGCGCGTGCGGCCGGGGTATCATAACCAGACACACAGCAGCGTGCAGAACAATGCGAATAAACTGCGGTGTAGGGAGCGGTATCGCGGACGTATATCAATTCCGAGGCGGCGTTCATAGCGACGCTATAACGACCAGGATCCATTTACATATGGTTATTGTTACATAAGACGTGCCGCTATGTATCCGCAATCGCGGGTATATCAGCGGCGGCATTCAGCGTTTCCTTCGTCAATGATAAAGATAACGATTCTATACGAATGATAGTATACGCACGAGAGTCGCGCGCGTCATCGAAACAGCGTAAATACATATATAACGTCAAATATATAACTGTCCGCTCGAAAAACGGGAGGTTCTGTGCGTTAGCGTGAAGTTCTGCATTAAAATTGTTTTATGTCTTCCAATATAATCCGACGATGTCACAGCGACCGGGCGGGGGGGGAGGGGAGGGGCATTAAGTCCAGGATTGATGCGAGGATGATGGACGCTGGACGGGGACGGCAGACGGCTTACCGTAATGTGACGCGTAATGCACGAGATAGAAACCGTAAAACGAACATGCGGAATAACAGAAACTGGGCCGCCCATTACTATATTAAATGATCGGTAATCTAATCTCGGATCGAAACATACATTTTTGCATTTCGTAAAAATATCCCGATGCTTCGATTGCGTTATCGCTATACGTGTAACTCCAGCTGAAATCCTTTTCCCGCGACGTTCTCGCGCGGCGAAGCTTTCTAAAATTCATTAACCATTTGCGCTATTTTGTTCTCCACAGCGGACAAAAAAAAGTTGATATATAAATCTGAAGGGGAAGATGAATTCGCATAGATATTCGGTATTGAAATAAATGCTTTATGTACAGTCGAGCGCAATGCGAGTTTAAGATTCGGGTTCAGATTGATGTGGTGGTAAACGGTAGCAGCCGCATGAGCGATTGCGCTGAGTTTTGTTTCGCAGTTTGGCGTCTGCGAGGTTACAAAACACGTGGAATAGTAGACGGAATGGAGGAGTAAAAGCGAATTGCAACCGCGGTAATGTCCAATTTGTTGCGAAGTTTTCACTGAATACATCGGCCTGAGCAAACGGTTACAGATCGGTCATAAATCACTGGATTGTTATTCAGTGCTCGGAAAACCTCGTGAATTAATTAATTATGTCGAAAGTTGGAATCTTTCGACGCGTGATTCATGCGATGTCGATCATGTATTTATAATTATATAGATATAATATATTCCTTAATATTACTATAATGTTACACATCCGTATGCAACATAAATATATTGAATAAAAAATGGTTAAATATAAATTTATTTTGAGAGTGAAAAATCTTTTGTGAATGTAATATTTTTGCAAAAGTAGAACATGACTTTTAAGCCATCTTTTGACGAAGAAAAGCTCCTTTTTCTAAAGTCACTACTGGTACTGCTACAATTAACATTGCAAATTCACTAATTAATAGGATTATATTATATTTAACATTTAAGTTTCTCGTCATTCTTGTGTATTGCCATGTTTATGTATATTGTTCGTGTCTATGAAGTTAGCATGATATTTTATTAATTTAAAAAAAAACAATACTTCCAGTAGCACTTTCCATATAATTCTACCGTTTCTACACAATTGTTACTTTTATCGTCAGCACGACACACGACAGAAATGTATTGTTTCCATATGTATTGGTATACAATATGTATATTCTATTGTGTGTTCCGATCGAATGTCGCTGATCAAATGGCGCCACGAGCTGCATTGGTACCATAATCCGCGTGGTCCCCAAATAGATGCGTACGATCGAACGAACGAACGAACGAACGAGCGGACGAACAAATGTTCGAAGCTCGATTGCACGGAGGGTAGGACCAGCGGAAGAGAAGTGGGGTCTCCCGGTGGCCGGCGGAGATTCTAGGTGGCTTTGACCCGCCAATTCAGCATCACCCATACGGGCACTCAACCGCAAATCGAGTTCCGGCCGTAGGGCGGAATAAAATCGACCCCGTCAACCCTCGACTTGCTCCTCCCTTCGGCAACTGAATGCAACCTTCGGGCCCCGATTCGCATGTAGGCGAACCTAGTAAGACATTACTCGCGAGGGACGCGTTTATCCCGGGAGAAGGTAGGAAAGAGAGCGGGAGGGAGAGAGAGAGAGAGAGAGAGAGAGAGAGAGAGAGAGAGAGAGAGACAGAGAGAGAGGAAGAGAAAGCACGAGCGGAAGGCGGAGAAAGAGAAGATAAAGGAAGAGAGCTCGGGTAGACTTTAATGGGTGTAGCAAAATGGAAAAGCCTGGCCGCGGGATAACCAGGCCACGCTCGGGATTATGATTTCCGCAAAGAGCGCGCGTGTCGCGCGTTGCTATTCTTTCCGGATCGCGATCGTAAAGTCCGCCGTTTTATACCGGGAGCCGGCGGTGGTAGCGGTCGAGAGAGTAGTACGGTCGGCAAGCTTCAACGATCTGCATTTGTATACACGGGATTTTAATGCGCGCGGGGACGCTCTCGGAAAAATTGGATCCCGTGAAGTCGCGCGCGAAGCGATCTCGTATTCGCGCTGGTCGCGTACGGATCGGACTCGAGCATTTTTCATGACGGGTCTGACGAGCGAAGCGAGTGCTGTGTACACATGCGTGTGTGTGTGTATTGTACAGCCCGAGCCGAATTCTGGGCTATTCTAACTTCGTCGGAACTCCCTCGACTCTCGGGAAAACTGTATGTGTGTATGTGTGTGTGTGTGTGTGTGTATGTGTGTGTGCATCCGTATGTGAAATCCGTAACGAGAAACTCGTCTCCTTCGGCTGGCTCTCTTTAACGCCCGATGTGTACGAAAGGTCGGACATTTAGGGTAAGGTAGGATGAGAGAGAGAGAGAGACAGAGAGAGTCGTCGCGCGCGCGGTGGGGTGGCTCACTTCCGCCGGAGATGACGCGGATGCGTTCGTTCTCCGCCGTTATCGTTGTCTACTTTATTACGTGCAGCCTGCCTCTGCATGCATCGTGTATGCGCACGTGTCGTCCCGCCGTTACGCTGTACGTGAAACGACGTGGCACCCGGCGCTCTCGTAGTCTCTCTACCCTTCGCGGCATGCAGAGAGCTAATCCACGCCGGCTGATTTATGGACGAACAGATATACTTGTCCACCCCTTTGCTGCCCTCACGGGAAGTAACTTACGGGCGTTATTGTTGCGCTTAAGTGTCGCGAGAGAGCTTGGCTCGCGCTCTCTCTCTCTCTCTTTCTCTCTCTCTCTCTATCTCGCTCCCGTGACGCATCGGTGATGTCAGGTAGATCGGATTTATTGCCCCCGCGTTCCGCTTTGCCGGGGTTAACTTCTAATTTCTGGTAACCTGCAGGTACCCGAATGTAAGCTCTTTTATTAGATATCGTATGGATTGTAGGATCACGTCCATTAGGCGGATTAAAGACAAATATAGAACGGTGATCCAATCCCACGGATTTTCTCGATTTAATATACTTTTCCATCTAACCTGATTCCGTTGAATTTCTGATATGATGTCTACTATGTCCGAAATAATTTTTCACGGAGGATAAGCTCTCGCGACACTTAAGCGCGTAATCGAAATTATGATTTTCGCTAAAACAATCTCGCGCGACTGCGTAAATTATCGAGATGCCTTTATGAAAGAAAAGTGTTTGTATTTGTAGAGCTATAATTGCATAGGAAAATAATTATAACACCTACCGGTCTACCCTGTAATTATATATAATTTTATTATGTAATCATAAATTTATAAAAACACAAAAAGGTGAGGCGCCAGCACTGCTACTGCTACTGCTAGAGTGCCTTCCCGAAAGCGCAAAAATGTAGCAGTGACATACGGAAAGAATAATTTTTTTGCTGGATTCAGATTAGAAAATAATTTTTGTTCGATAATCAAAATAATTTTGTTATAAAGTTATAAAATGATTGCTAGAATATTAAAACGTTTCATAGCAATGCCTACCATTTTTAACTTTTCAACCAATTATTTTGATTATTGAACAAAAATTATTTTGAGATCTGTATTCAGCAAAATTTTTAGACCTTTCAACAAAATCGATCTTTCCGTGCAGAGAAGACGATAAATGCGTAAATAATAAGACGTTGCAATACGAGAATGACGCGGTTAAAATAACTATACATATAACAATACTTATTAAAAACGGAGACCGATCCGATACGAAGTACAATGCTTAAATAAATTAGACGAGGAAAAAAAGAAAACTGCAGACAGTGAAAAAGTCGCGCACGAGCTCTCGAAGACGTCAGCGGATGCATAAGAATACAAGTATAAAATTAAACGAAAAAAAAAAGAAAACTGCAGACAGTGAAAAAAGTCGCGTACGAGTTCTCGAAGATGCAAGCGAATGCATAAAAGCACGAGATTATAACGAAGAATGGAAATACATCGAAATAAAATACAATACGAAACGGATAGGTGTGGGCGAAAAGAGAATTGTCGTTCGCTAGACAAGATAAAGTAAAGTTGGCACTTTAGCAACGAAAATGACTATATACGTTATGATTAAATTATGATAATTGCAACCATTTCTTTTCTCTCAGTATATGATTAAAACGACATATGGTATAAGCATATATATACATGGAAAGACCGATTTTGTTGAAAGACCTAAAAATTTTACTAAAAACAGATCTGAAAATTTTTTATTGAATCATTAAAATAATTTGTTGGAATGTTAAAACTGATAAGTATTGTTATAAAACGTTTTGATATTCTAGCAATCATTTTGACTTTCGCACAAAATAATTTTGAACTACTATTGAACAAAAATTATTTTCAGATTTGGATTCAGCAAAATTGTTCTTTCCGTGTAGAGGCGCGATTCACATTCGATTGCGCGCAGCCTCTTCTTCTTTAGAATATCATTTTTTCTTCCTAAACTGGGCAACACGCACGTTTTACTTTCGCATTACCCAGCCCGCTCAGCTCATATACGCGATATATTTCTCACGCTCGCACTTTTCTGCCGACAGTGCCGCCCGATATTCTGGACTATGACACCAGCACGGACATGGTGGTGATGGAGGGACGAAACGTGACTCTGCGTTGCGCCGCGACCGGCTCCCCGGCGCCTAACATCACCTGGCGGCGCGAGGACGGTCAGCAAATTCAGCTCGGGAACACGGAGGAAGGTGAGTTTTAACGAGCTGCCCGCGAACGAGCGTAATTCGCAGTCGGGGCCGGGTGATAAAGCCGGGGAAAATTTCGCTGAATTAAGGTGACTTCGCTTTCTCTCGTCGCGACTCGCCTGCACCCGCTCCGCCGCGCGCGCGCGCGCTCCTCCCTCTCGCCCCCTCTCCTTCCCCTTTCGTCGCGACGGACGTCGTCGCTTCGTTACGGCGAGAGCTAATCGAATACGACGAGGCGGAAGACGCGGCGTTTGATACCCCAGCGGAGTGCACTCGACGATCATTCGCGATGTGGTCCCTTTTCGGGATTGCGCTTTTAACCCATCCTCCCCTCCCCCGCCCCTTTAAATGCTCTCACCCCGGGATGTACCCAAGTATTTTATGTGTCATTAGCTCCGCGCCCGGACGATCACGAAATTTCTGCGCTCCGCGTTCGCCACGACTCTATACGATATAGTTTCTCTCTCTTTTCGGTCTTTTATAAACTTTTTTGCATTATATTCCCTTACACTGTGTACCGGCTTTTATTGATATTTCCGTTATGAAAACGTTGATTTCACTTTTTTTTCTTACTAGCTGCGAAACTCACGTATATACATATATATATATATATACAAGCACACGAAGGTTAGAACTTCGCTTATGAAGTTTGTAACTTTCATAGCTGACTTGCAAAAACGACATACGCGACGCTCTTTTCGAAATAATCTAATTCAATTCCGCCTGATAAACGCGTTGAAAAAGCGCGGACGAGCTTTAAATATTTACAAATTTAACGTCGTAGATTATTTCTCGTTCCTGAAAGATAAATGAGCGGGCGCTCGACTTTCGGAAGATATCATTTGAAGAGGGGGGGGGAGGGGAAGGAGAGGGGACCGAATTCGGCTCGCGCAAATGCGAGTAGCTCTCGGGATCGAGTAAATATCCCTGTAACGTCCCTATAAACGCGACGGCAACGCGCCAAAAGCTCGCTCCGTTACGCGCGCGCGCGCGCGTGTGCGGCCGTAAAGGCACCGACGGAAAAAAGATTTACGCTCCGACGGCGGAGATACATTCGGGCTAAACTGCGCGCGGAGTGCATTCGGAGCCCCGTATCCAAGCCCCGGGAGCCGCTGCCGCTGGCGCGGGCGGGAGCGCGAGCGCGGGCGGTCGCTCGGGAGCGCAAACACACCGCCTGGCAAGGCCAATAGGTTAGAGCGAGGTGATACGTTTGCAGAGACCGAGGAAGATCTTCTATATTTGCATTGAAATTGGCAAACACACGGGCGCGGGCGCGGGCGCGGCGGCGATACGGCGACTCCGGTTGCACGGCACAGCGGCGCGGACGGTGTGCTATATGTATGCGCGCGCGGTCCCCGACATACGTATATATAATACGGCGCGAGGAAGGCGATAAACAACCGGACCGAACTTAAACCGCGATTACGCCATCCATAGTTCCGCTATTACGCCATTAATCCGATAAAGTGTGGCGCTGAGAAGGGCGCACGCTATACGGCTGCGATGGGTCGCCGCCGGCTTATTCGTTCGGAATATACGCGGACACTCCGCACCGCGGCCGCCTCTGCGAAAGAATATTCTCGCGCGATAGGTTTTCCAAGATATCACACTGCTAGAATTGTCATCCAGACGATTGTTCTGTCCTCTGAAGACACGAGAAAGGAACAATTAATTTTTGTCCGCGCTGATTTTGCATTTTGAATATTTTAACGCCACGTGAGAGGTGGCGGATGTTTGGCGCGGCAATAGAAAAAAAATTCTCGCTTTCCGTAATGATCTTGCGATGTGTATCTTAACGACATTATGATCAAGACACTGTTACTATGAAGCGTTATTGGATTATTCGGAACTTCGGTGTAAGCACGTCGTAATCTTGTCTCGACGGGTCTCGAATTTGAGAAAGTTAGCGTCGTTAGCTCCTGATATCGCGTCATGTGGAAGTGATGTTTCCGTGTTTACGTCACGCGCAATTTTTTTCCCTCGGCGTACGCGTGCCTCCTTTTACTGCTTCTTGCATTCGCGATACCTAATTAATTTTTTCTTGAAACATTTAGTTTACCATCGACGCGAGGGAGCGCGCAGACATTCTACCGAATTTAATTATGGTCAAGTGTAGGAACATAGGCAGCCTTCAACTTTCGGATAGGTAAACTGAATTCGCACCCTGTAATGCAGATAGTCCCCGAACTGTGTGTCGCCCGGAGTTGACGGACTCTCCGTAAATTGCTATTTGAATTTCGAACACATTCGTACGTATGCAGGGTGTGCATAGGAATTTGTGTGAGTATAGGAAAAGATATGAAAATCAATTTCAACGTTTCGTGCTCTTTTTGCATGGCTTTTATTTTTGAATATCAAATTAATTGAATACAATTAAACGTATTAAATATTCAGGGAATTTTATAATACGTCATATTTGTTTCTTTTTTTCTTTTTCATTACCGACTGCAGCAGCGAGTTATTGAATGCCCGTTTTTATGAATAACGGGAATTTATGAGATACTCCGTTCAACAATTTCAGAAAATTTAACAGTAGTCGGCAGTATGTTTTATTTATTATCCGTTGCATTGTACCCGTGTACTGGTATAATTTAAAATGCTTTATAGAAGTCGCACACATATGTGGCTCGGAGCCGGGCACTCACAATCGAGTCCGCAGCTGCTGCATTATGCGGTCGTTCGTCAAAACAGTTTGCACATTTTCTCGGTGCGTTTTAGCCGCGCGCGAAAGTGTGGCCCTTCTTCGCCGACGATAATGGTTACATTGATAAAACGGTAAAAGTTTCCGCGGTACAGTTTCTGTACCTCCCCGCGTGCGCGCGCGCACGCGATGGTGAATCAGTGCGCCGGACGTTTTTCTCGAGCGCGGCGTGATTATTCTTCAAGCGCAATAATCGTAATAATTTTCCGGGGGATTTGCATTCGGGAAATTCATTCGCACTTTGCACGGACAAAAACCGTAAGCGCGTTCAATCCGTTTTCTCTAAATTGAAACGTATAAGCGATAGAACTTCGGCAATCAATTTCCGTCGCGTCGCGTCGCGTTGCGTCGCGTGCGACCGGTACCGATCGACGTCGAAAAAAAAAAAGTTGCACGAATGTACTTCGCGCACTTCACTGAGGTGGACGAACACGTTTAAAAATATGACTCGGTAAAATTTCCAATGCAAAGTGCGGAAAAACGTTATCTCGGGCGTTATTCGTGCCACTGATCGAATTAAATAGAATTGTGTCGGAATAACTTAACTGTTGCCATCGTTTCTCTCCCCTCTTCTTTCTCTCTCTCTTTCTCTCTCTCTCTTTCTTTTTATTTGAACATGTATTTCAATCCTTTATTTCCATACTTCAACGACATTATTGGAAAATTAAAAACTAACGAATAAAATAAACGATATGTTACGTGGTATGAAACGATATTTTTTAACAGAGCGTATATAATCCCGAAGATTTTCGGAAATTCTGCAGTTCCGGGCTGCCAGTGCTAATAAAAATATCGACGTCAAAGCGACCCGTCGATCGGGCGTCACGCACTTTTCCCGTGCGCCAAACTGTCTATAGCTATAACTTTATCGAAATTCCCGGAAACCGTAACATCCCCGAGAATAAAAAAAAAAACAAAAATTTGCCGAATTCCACTGAGGTCCGACGTTCCATGTTTCATGGTAAAAAAAAATCGATTGACACCAAAAGCATTCGATGTCACAGCGTAAAAGTTACATCCACCTCGATTTATCATCGATAACATCGATCATATTTCGCACGGAAATTCTCGTTGCGAACTTATTGATACCTTTCTAGCCTGCAGTTGTAATCCCTTTCATTCGGCAAAATCTCCATCCCGTTTTGTTGTTTATCGACAAATTTTTTTCCCCTCTCTGACAGTGAATTCCGTAATGAACGTGCCTCCGCTCGGGAACATATACAGTCTACAGGATCCTCATATTATATATTATATATTCGATATTATAATTAATAGCCCACGAAATCGCTTCATCTTATTAAAATTCTCATCGCGTATCTATTTTAGATAATACAATTACCTAATTATCTGCATATTTCATACGTACGTTCTTGCTTCTCCATTAACTATGACTCTTTCATATTAATTAATTCTTCTCTAATTTCAGTTAGCAGCGTGGACGGCCCGAGCTTCAATATCACAAAAGTGAACCGGCTACATATGGGTTCCTATTTATGCATCGCGTCCAATGGCGTGCCCCCCTCCGTCAGCAAAAGAATAATGCTCACTGTGCACTGTACGTATGTTCGTCGCTTGTGCGTCTTATTTTGAATTAAACGCGATCTCATCTACTTCAGTTTGAATTGTAATCACGCCACGTTGCTTTTTGGGGCAAATTATTATCGTGAGGTATGAATAATCAGTTGTCGCGCGTCGACATCAAGTCGACAACGTATTTAACTGTCAGAAAAAAAAAAGAAAGGAATATGAAAAATGAACATGAGAAATGACATTTTGTATTCACGACGCTGTAATAAAGGGTAACAAAGCTATTAGAAAAAGTTATGCAAATGGTAATTAAGCGTTTGCGAGGGAAAAATACCGTGTAATTTGAAATTTTAAAGTTGTATACACACGCACACCGGCACTATTGTTTCAGTTCCGCCGATGATCTGGGTGCAGAATCAGTTGGTCGGCGCCCATGAAGGTCAGAAACTGACCCTCGAATGCTATTCAGAGGCATTCCCGAAGTCTATCAATTATTGGACCAGAGATCAGGACAAGATTGTGCCGCAGGGTGAGCATTTATCTCCGATAAATAATAATTCAGCTTAGACGAAGCTTAGAAGGACGTAATCCAGACGCGACATGATCTGTCAGTTAATTATAAAGCCCATATCACAGAGCAGAATTGCGAATTGAAAATTAGAATTAGTGAAGATTGATTAATCAGAACGAAACGAATAAATATTAAAATTATCTAATTAGTCGAAGTCTATAATAATCTTCAGTTCGCAATTCTCAATCTCTAATGCATACCTAATTTGATACGGGGCTTAAGCGGCGTCTATAATGAGACTTGAGATTTAAGATTTAAGAAAATTAACCAATCACAATCGATTATTCTCCTCATTCTGTTGAATAATCGACTATGATTGGTCAATTTTCTTAAATCTTTAGTCTCATTGTAGACGACGATCTAATGAGAGTTCAATCCGCACGATATTTTACTACATGTGTTACAATTGTGCGCAATGAGAGTTCGCGGTCGTTCATGGCGGGAGAGACTCTTTCATTCTCATGAAAGAGTCATGACCCGATGGAAAGTGGGATGACTTTACAATTTTGTAATATGCATCGCTCACGGCACGCACTTCTATCACACTTTTTGATGATTCATGTAAGTCCGCGGGAGGGAGGGTGAGAAAGAGAGGGAGAGTGTGAATGAGTGAGAGAGAGAAATATAATTACACCCCTCCCCCCTTCCCCGGACGCGTATTCCTCCCGCCGCGTAGTGTGTGCATTCGCGAGGAAGGAAAATAACTGGTTGTAACGAACCCTTTGAATAATGAAAGCTTCATACCGAACACGCATAAACACGCACACCGGCGAAGCGCGAGTATAAGCGTTTTCGCTCCGCTTTATGGGCCGCGCTGCAAAAGGCGGCTTTGGCCGTATACTTGGCATCGATCCTCTTTCGGGGATCCGTATCTCTTTCAGAAGCCATATCGCGATGTATACATACACACACACACACACATACTCCGTGGCTCGACTCGCTGTCGAGCGCATTCAATCGCTCGGAGGAAGCTACGGCGGTTACGCCGCACTTTTACGCCGGGGAATTAACCGGGGTATTATGAAATCGCGTACCCGCGCTATACAGTCGCCGCGCGTTCATTACGCGTTCAATAGTCGAGAGGCGCACGATGAAAATTAGCTGTAACCATTATGATTCTTGTATCCTCCGCATGCCTTTCGCATATACGTACGAAAGGCTTCTTATGCCAAGAAGGTATGTAAAATTACAATAATGTGTGTAAAAGTTGCACAATTTATAGTAGAAATATATGTAAGTATATGTGCACTGCTCCTTTCGAACGAACGGAGCTCTTCCACATTTCGAGCAAACTTATTTCTTTTTACCGTCAGTCTCAAAGAGAATTCCCGTACTTAATTATACTTTTTGGCAACAAAAAGGACGAATAACAATTTTTAATCGCTTACATGTATGTGTACAAAAAATTGTTCGTTTTAAAAAAATTAGTACTTTTATCTCTAATTGTGTTAATATATCTTTTATATTAGAAAAAAAATTACTGTACCAATATATTTTACAATTTTTTATATTAATGTCAAAATTTTGGTATTATTATATAACATAGTGATATATTACACATATTATATTTGCATTTTTACTTTGAAAGTTTAAGAAAAATTATACTTAATTTATTCTCGCAATTTATTTGCGATAAATTTAAAATTTAAAGTGAGCAGTTAGTGGAAATTGAAGTGTTATTACGTAAATATTTTCATAAACTCAACTTTAATTGTAAATTTACTTTTATAAATTTTTTAATTACTATAAAGATAGATATATTTGCTTCTTTTATTTACTTACAAGGGCGTGTAAAATACACTCTTTTAATAGTCCTAAAATTGCCGACTATAATTATTGTAATTTTACATACAATTTTGTTACCGTGTGCGCGAGAAATCACATGTTATACACTCTGCGGGTAATGTAATTATCCCGCTAACGTAATTATTGCAGGTGTACGAAATATGCTTACGGCCTTCATTTATAAACAGCCTCCATTTAAACAGTTGACAGAAATCTTCGGACGGCGGGATTACGTGTTAACACGATTGGGGGTGGGAGGGAGGTCAAAACTCACATTGTGCGCAACATTATTGCGTTCGATACAGATGCAAATGCTAACCGCACAGCGCGGGGCAATGTAATAACGGCCCGGCGCGGGGCGCAGAAAAGGGCGATCCTTCGGTCGTGTTTGGCGTTCATACGCATATACTCGTCGCGGCGCGTCGTCCTTAGCCTTCCTCATAAATGCCAGATAAAATCGTGTTATACCTTTAACGTTGCTACCAGGATTCGCATGCATTATTCAGAGGCTAATTCCGGTCGAATAAACGGCCCGCGCGTAAGAAGAGCCCGCGCGAGATGTTCGCGCGCGCACACGCGCGAATACGCGGCTGATACCGCGCTTAAATAAATAAATCTAACGGTATTAAAAACTAGATTGCCCTCTTGTAATCGCCATATTGCCCCTCCCCGCCTCTTCCGCGTCTATTTCGAAGATATACAGGGCCGAACCGCCCGTGTAAATTAAAAGCGGCGCCGTGTTTCTCGCCGGTACGAAACTCATTTAAGGAATTAACTTCTAGATTAGATTCATGGATAAAATGGCATTAAAGGGATTTCATTCATAGGAGAATTTAAAGATATCTTTTCTTTATACAATGCTGAGCGCTCGCTGATCAATAGTAATGGGATTAATAGCAGTAAAGCGAAACGCAGGGGAGGGGAAAGGAATACAAGTTTTGATCACGGCGTGTATAAACACCGTTGCGTATAAAATTCACTCGCCGGCCCGATAAATCATGTGATACGAAAAGTGAAAGTTTTTTTTCGAGTAAATAGTGTGAAATTTTAATCAATGGACGTCATCAAAATTCTATTCTATAGATTCTCGCATTAATTTATAGCCGCGGTAGCGCACTGAGAGAAAAGTGTTTGGTATGTGTGACTATATAATTGCATGATAAAATAATTATGATTATAAGAGGGAGCTCCATTTTTATTGTCATTACTGCTGTAATGTTAATAAGTATATTAACATAATAATTATATTTATGATTTTGTCGTCGAACAAATATATAATTGCAAGCACCGAAAATGGCAATACATTATAAGTCAATTAATTATGGTAATTGCGATCTTTTTTTTTTTTTACTCTCAGTGGAGCGGCGGAAAACCGGGACTTTGGGCTCTGCGAAGAGCGATTAAATCATGCAGGAAAGATCGCTGTCGATTCATTTTCGAGAGAGCCAAGCGGCCGTTTGTCCTCTTTTTTTTATGGTTACATATTCGTTACAGTGTAGTGCACTTCGGCCGGGGCTAGCCTCGGGGCGGCGAAAACGAATCCACGCGAATTGGCACGGCCCCGTGCATCCCCGTGTTTTCTTTCATTTCTTCAGCCAATTTCCATTTGCGTCTAATTGAAAGCATTCAAATAAACAGAAGCGGCGGAACCGGACTGTGTGTGCGCAATTGTTGAAAATTTCATCCCGCTTCGCTTTTGACCGCCTCATGTCAGAATCCGCGAGATTGCGCCCGTCCCGCATTTCTCCTTTTTTTGTACTCGGCTATTGGCCGCGAACGTGATCAAAGCTAATACGGGCTGACGTTTGTTTCTGTCGTCGGACCGTTAAGTTATCCTCCATCCGAGATTACATCGATGGGAAAGAGACGCCGCCGCCGCCGCCGCAAACAACGCGGTAATATATATTCGCCCTGGCGATTATGTGCGCCCGGAAGAGGGGAAATAAATCGCGGCGGGTTGGGTGGCGCGCGGAGGGTGCAACGCGACGGAATGCATGTACGAATGGCGTGACTGGAAAAATGATTGGGGGCGATTTCACGCGTTTTAACAAGACGTACCGTGATCGATGCCACGGCAGATAGCGTCGAACACTTCGCCGTTTAGATCGGAAATAGTTCTCGGTGGCGACGTCAAACCTGTGTGGGAATGCCGACGGTGTTCCGAGGGAGAAACGATTGGTCAATCAAATAAGAAAGTGAATCATTTGGCTTTATATATCTTTCGTACAATCAAATTGCGACTCACACGTGCGTACATAAGAAATCGCTTCGCGCGAGTTCGCATGTGATAATGACGTTGAATGGAACATGATGGGTGGAACGGGGACGAATTTAAGATTTATCAGCCGTTTTATCCATACAAAAAGTAAATTGAAAATAGAAATGCGTTAATATTTATATTTTAAACTAAATACATGTGAAAGTTGTGTGAATAACATTCTGCTTTTATTGTGAATAACACATTTTTATAACATTTTTATTTACTTTATTTATTATTTTTTTATTGTTATAATACTACAATTTAAAAAAATGTAATAACACAAAATTCTTAGTTTTTTGTATAACGATTGTATATGGTAATGATTTATATAAAATTTCATTACGATGCAGGGATTAGTTGTTCTATGAATAAATAAATTTTGTTTATTTACAGAACAACTAATCTATGCGTCGCAATGAAACTCCACATAAATCATTTTGAATACTTAAAGTACTTATATAGAAAATTAAGATTTGTGTTATTTTTTCTTAATTACATTTTTATTCGAGTAAAGCACTTCTGCTTTTTATTAAGACAATTTTTTATTCAAATTCTAAATTGCCGCTAAATATTTTGTATTACTTTTAAATGCGATCTAGAATAATCTGCAATTTTTTCATAAATTATTTTGAAAATGTGTGTAATGCATCCTGAACATTCTTGAACCTCGATCCACGTTACATTTTTGTTGACAATAAATCAAAAGTGAAGTGACAATTTCTTGTTTAGAAAGACCTTATAAATGCAACTGTATTTTTCATTAGATATTCATAGCGCTATTTATATCAGGGCGGTTTCAATAACCTACATTTTCTGGCGACTCACTCTGTATAATTCAAGTTTTGCCCCATACAAAACCGAATCGCCTCTAAATCGTTCGCGCCAATAGCATCGTATACAATAGAAACGGAATTTCTTCCCTCGGAAAGGAAACGGAGGCCGAATCTGACAGCCATCGCCAAATTCTAACGTCGCGTCGGGGCGCGAGCAATTTTTACAAAAGCATTTGTCATCTCAATAATTTTCTCTTATACCTGCGAAACGGCACGAGAGAGAAAGTTTTTCGCTTTTCTTTTTTAAGCACTCATGCACAGGAGGAGGGCTTTGCAGCAATTTGCTAGAGTTCTTACGGAGTAGAAAAGTCGGCTGGGACTCGAGTAGTATTAAAGGGCGTTACTTCGCTTTGCTCGTTATACTCGCCAAAAATGTTAAACATTTAACCCGCGAGACGCGAGGAATAAGATTTGCAGTTCAGACAATTCGCAAAAAGTTCTCTGTATGTAGGAGATTTGTTGGCATAATCCAGAAATTTTCTCCGTTTTATCGAGCAGCAACTGCGAACGGTGATTCAATACTTCAATCAAATACGTGTACATGTGTGTGTGTGTATGCGCGCGCGCGCGCGAGTCAATTCTGCTTTCCAAGATTGATATCTTTGCGGCTAGACATTTTCGCATTTTTCCTTATAGTTTTCGCTTTTCAATACCTCGAACGAGATAGTTGCTCGACGTGTGTTCCGCGCGCGTTCTATATATATTCCGTTCGGAACGTCGGGAAATCATCTTTGAATCCGAAGCTACAATTCGAAGTCGTCGAGCCGGGGTCGAGGGTCGAGGCGATTTCTGATGCCCCGCATTCGCCCTGAGTGTGACGTAGTTCTCGCATAATCAATTCAAACGTCCTAAGATCCTGCGTTTTATCAAAACGGCACGGCGCGTCCCGGCAAATCGTTCCCCGTCGCGATCGGCGCCGTAATAAATGGCGATGTTCGATTTCGGGGGCCGGAAACGGGAGTGCCGTACCAGAATCGACTGGTCGTCCACGAATTCCCCGTTGGTCGCTCGTCGAAGGTAAACGTCACAATAGTTCAATCAGCTCGGAAGACGGTAGCCGCCCGCGTAGACGTCGCGTCGCGTTCGCGCGACTATTTCGGTATTCGACGCGCGGCATCAGGGTCTTAAGTTAACGTGATTTCGGTTTCGAAACGGCGCCCATTCAACGGGCGCTTCCGGTTCTCTCTCCGGAGGCGCCCCGGGAAGAAGATTTCAAACCGGCGGCGCTCTCTTCACCCATCACCGGGTCGCGGCGCGCGAAAAGCGTCATTGGCTCGGAATGCAAAGCGGAACAGTAAAAGGGATACAATCGCCGTGCTGAACTGTACTTTGGATTCGCCTCAGAACGGATAATGCGCTCTCCGTGATCGCGAATGTTGATATTCGCCATTTCGCGCTATCCGACGCCCGTTTACGGGATCCGATGAGACTCGTAAATTGTCAAATTACGCGTACAGCTCGCTCCGGAAGAGAGATAATAGAGAAGAACAGACATTCGCAAAAATTATCGGATTAATCGCCGCGCGGTGCATCACATTTCGATTAAATAAAGCATTTACAAAAACATTAACGCGATTTTTCCGCGTCTGCTTTTACACCCCGCGTGGATATCTCTCGCGTGCACGCCGGGCGAGGGCGATTTAAAATTTATAGTCGTTCACGTTCATTCCCGAACGAGTGACAAGTGGGACAATAATTCGCGGGACTCTCGAACAAAATCGTACACATCAATCTTTCGCGACGACAAAGAAATTTAATTATGTGCGACGGAAAACGTATGTTTTATATACCTATACGTTTTGTTGCATCGCTGCTTAAACTTTCATGACAGTCCTCCATGATGGGACGGCGCGGGACGGGGACGCGTGTCGAAAAACTCACGTCCGTAAAATCAATCACGGGAGGATGGGAGAAAAAGTTTCCGCGAGACACGGCGGGTGACGCGTCCAAATAGATCGCGCGCGGCCCGCGGCCACTTATTAAATCGCTCTCGGCCGACTTCCCCGGCGCGGGAAATAATTAGGAAACAGAGAGCCTCTTTGTTAAATTTCCCGGGTTTCCTCATCCCCGATCCGTCCGTGCCTGTGTAGATACCGTCATTGTTTCGTAGACGCCGCCGAATCGTTTCTATGAGATTTTTCGTATTGTCACCACACAACCGCCGCGCCGCTGGTTGACCCACATACCGTACCGTGGATGCGCGCGAAGGACAGACGGTTATTTAAAAGCCCTCGATTACCGCCGCATATCCCGATAAAAATACCCCGTGCGATCCGGGGTCGGTACTTCTATATATATATATATATATAGATAGATAGATAGATAGATATGTATATATTTTTTTATTTTCAAGCTCCACCCAGAAAGAGTAAATCACGTCAAGAGAAATGACAGGTACCCTCCCCCCCTCTTCTCCCCGCCGGGCAAACGTGACTGACAGCACATGACGGAGAAGCGAATTTTTTTTTGTTTTAATTTTTTTTATTCCGGTATGCACGCGCTTGCGTCTGGTTGATTTAAGCGTGATTTTTTTCTGGAATCGGGACATAGAGTGCGGATATAATGTCCACACATATCATTTCTTTTTTTTCTTTTTTTTTCTTTTTTTTTTTTAGTAGATATATCGCTCTAATTCCATCGATGTAATCCGGCGCGGGGCTATACCGCGTCGGCAAATATTTATCATTTTCCTAACGATAATGAAATAGACAGGGGGAAAAAAACGACGAAATATAGAACTGCGCAGCGCATTACTGGCGGGGATTGCGATTTGTTGCAGGAGGAAAATACGAACCGGTGCTGAAAGATAACGCGTACAAAATACACATGAAGCTGACGATAAACTCCGTCAGCCCGACGGATTACGGCTCGTATAAATGTGTGTCCAGGAACTCGCTGGGCGACACTGACGGCAGCATTAAAGTCTATCGTAAGTATAAAATCTATATATATATATATATATATATATATATGTGTGTGTGGCAACTCTTGGCTCTAAAATTTCTTTCTTTCTGCACTGCTATTTTAATGATCTCTCTCTTTCTCGTGATAGCCCATTGTCTAGACAGAGCAAATACAGGATGCGGGGCGCGGGGGAGGGGGGAGATTCCTCGGAATGAATCGCAATAAAATTGCACTGTTCGTCGTTACGCGGGATACTTCGCGAGGCGCATACCCTGGATTCGACAAAGCAGCAACGCGCCGCCGTCGTGGCGCGCTGACGCTGCAGCTTATTAAGCAGCAGCTGCGTTAAAATAGTTGGAATTTTTATACCGAGGATAGCGGACTGAAATCCGACGCGCGCGCAAGAGGCAGGGCCAGGCGTACCCCCTTATATTCTTAAGAGCGCACTCGCGCTTATGAATAAAACAATATTTCGCAAAAGTATTCCAGCGGGGCTGTGTGTGCGCGCGCTCGCGCTCGCGCAACCTGGGGGACGAGATTCCGTGATTCGAAAATCACGGCCCACGGGAAAAGTTCCTCGGGCGCCGCGCTCAACCGCGTCGCCCGCTGTATACCTGCTTACAGTTGCGAGTAATATTCGCCCGGTGAACGCGAATCACTCTCTCCCCTGAAAAGTAGCAGTACGAGCGAGCGAGCCCCCCCCTCCCCCCGCCCGCTCTGAAATTGTTTGCACCCGTAAAGTGAAAGATAACAAGGAGTTAGAACCTCCGCCGCGAGTTAGGGCAATGCGTAAACAAAGTCGCGCGAGTTAGAAAGTGTGACTTGAAAAGACTATATCCCCGCGCCTGCGCGCGCTTTATTGCTCGTCTCGTTATTTCTTGAATACAGCCCGCCGGGCCCCTCTTTCGAACTATCCTTCAAACTACCCCTCCCCATCTGAAGATCCCGCGGCTCGAGAGAGAGAGAGAGAGAGAGAGAGAGAGAGAGAGATTCCTCAATTCGTCGCTTTAGATATTTGACGTGCACTTTGAAGCGCACGCGGACGCAGCAGTCGTTTGAATAATACTGAACACGATGTTATTTATTTTTCAGCAATATCGAGCTCCAATTCCAACAGCACCAAGTACAAAGGTAAGCGTTTTCTATTTAATCCTCGAAACGCTATTGATATTGATTGATATAGCATTGCTATCGATACGTAAATTTTACATCCGAGAAAGTGGGCCACTTTTTAATTAAAAAGTATGGGTATCCCCATAACAGTGTACCCGATGATTTCTTTCACTTTATATGCTATTATTCTTTCATTAGTAAAAATACATTTTCTTGTTATCATTTTATTTAATGCCTGGCGTTCCGATTGAAAAAGAATATTTTTATAATATTTTTATGCGATATTTTTACATCGCAATATCCAGTGCGGTGCTGCCGTGACGAAACGTAGTGTGACATGAAAGATTAATATAATACAAAATACATTTCACACTTTTATCGACAAAATATTTGTAATCTATTATAGACCTTTATGAACGCAAATAACCCAATTATTTATTTAAAGCGAGAGAAAGAGTAGGCAATTAGTCAAATTCAATCTTGAAATGTATGTCCAATATCTCTTCATAACAATGTACGTAACATGCAATTACATATTTTATATTTTACTTTTTTTTTTTACGACTGCAGCATGTCAAACTTGCGTACGATAGTATTGTAGGAGGTTAAGCAGAAAAAAGTATTCTTTCTGCCTGAAGAATAACTCGATCCCAGGGCAGTAAAATTGACGCGCCAGACTTCATGGTACATACTAAAATATAGCGAGCTTACGCTTTTTCTCTCTCTCTCTCTTTTTTTATTGAAAAGATATGCCAGCCAGAATCACGTATTTTGCACTAATGAGGGGAAACCCTCGCGAATGTAAAGGGGGTTGGGAGGGACTCTCGGCGCGACTTAATTTCGAAATTGCTTTATGAATTTCAATGGCACTGTGAATGAAACCGCTTCGTAGAGATACTAAGCCATTAATTAATTAACCGCTTCATTTCAATTTCGTTGCACGAAATATAAATCGACCGCCCACCCTTACTGCTCGCTTTGTATCGAGAGGTACTTTTTGAATGATGAAGCGCCAGTGTACTTGTGGCGGACGAACGGGTCGCTGATTAATTAGATCGAGTAGCCAGTTTGTGCGATCGGATCCGCGGCATCGTACGCTCTGTTTGAACGGAGCCAAAGGAACAAATGCGCTTTTTCGACATTGTGTAACTGTAATGAACATTGTACCTGTGTACAATCTCCTACAAAGGACCCGTTCAAGTATTCGATTAATTTTGTTTTTAAATATAAAAATCAAAGAGATACGTATATTTTTATATTCCCAATCTAAAACACTTTTCGAAAATTTTACGAACTAAAATCTCTTTTTCATCAATATCTCCGAAACTATATTAATTGTATCGATTTCTGATAAGATTATTTTTGCTATTTATCGTAGAAATAGTAATAACTTTGCAAAAATAAGTGGAGATTGAGAGATTTTTCATCGGAAAAATAAAAATTTTCTTATTGCTATTTAATTTTACGATAAACGCTGACAAACTTTACCTGGAACATTTTTCGATGCGATAGATGGATTCGGAAATATTACCAAAAAAAGAATTTAGCCATAAAACTTTTAAGAGATATTGTATCTCTTAAAATCCCTTGAGATTGATCATATATAAACAATTTGTCTGTCTCCTACATTTTAATATTTAATATGAAAGGTATTTCAAAACAAATCAACGTCAGACACTTGAATAGTATCCATTATCAGTAGATGGAAAGGACAGGTTTTGCTGAAGTATGCATGTAAAAATCTAGCTACATGTAAATACATATCTGAAAATAATTTTATAATTATTAAAATAATTATATTAAGACACTCAAGCTGACTGTTATAATATCAAAATTTTTTGCAACATTACTCAGCATGCTTGAGTTTCCTACATAATTAAGTATTTTGATGGTTTAACAAAATTATTTTCAGATCTGTGTCTAGTTTTTAGATATTTCAGCAGAATCGTTCTTCGTTGAATTATTTTATAATTTCTGTGTTCTTCAAATATCATTTCGTAAATCTCCGCTTTATGATGACATAAACGAATATATTTTTTGTCGTTTAGCTTTTAAAACGTTACGTTTCGTAGAGAGATTATAGATATTTCCTATAACACATTACGAAAAATGGATATAATCATTAAAAAGGAAAAAGTGTTTTTTCAAGGATACAATCTATTAACAATTATAAACGCTCGGCAGTGCAAATTATTTTTCGCTTATTATCTTCCGGTACGCTCTTAAACATCGCCGCGATTTCCCGGATTGTAATTTCTATTAACTATCGCAATCGGGAAGTGTGTTCCACTACCGCAGGGGGGGAGGGGGAAGGGGCACGCAACAAAAGCGTGCGTTCGCGCGAAATCTGTGTCACCCGCGTTTGTTGAGGCATTTCAAGAGTTTTCCATCCGACCAACTTCGAGCGTCTCCTCCATTCGTCGAGCGCGCGGATGAGGCATTAAGAGAGAGTCGGCACTATTTCAGCGTAAAATCGCGGTTGAATAGGAGCCGTCGTCGTGTGACGTCGTGTCGGATTTCGCGGGCCGACCAGCAGGCCGGTCGGCCGACCGACCCGATCGACCGTCTCTCGTTTTCACGACAGGCCGCCGCTGCCGCGCCGTGGCGAGAGAGAAATCCCGCACGAAAGTCGGTGCCGCGTTTCGTGCAAGCACGCGCAGAGTGTACGGAGGTCCGCTTATGCGCGAGCGCGCGCGCGCGCTTGCATTTGTGCGATAGCGGAGAGATAGACGTTTAGAGAAACGACTTTTTAAAGAGACCCGGATGAATAACGTTTCGGCTCTTGCACCTATCGCGCCAACCTGCCTTTCATCGCCGGTGGAAAAAGGACAAACACGAACTTCCCCGCAAAGGGACCCCGCCTGCGTCCCTCCTTCCTTCGGCTTTCCTCTTTACGCGTCTCACACACGGCTGTGCGTAACTTTTTCCTAAGTAACCGCGCGCACATCCGTTAGAGAAATAGAAGTTTCTTGAGAGAAGAATGTTCAATTTACATCAGAAAGATTAAAAAAAAGGAGCACTTTGACATGTTAAGGTTTTTAACAGTTTACATCGTTATATACCGTTTTATATGGAAATATTTTCTCAAAATTTAAGAATTACGATTGCTTTAACGTAATACTTTATTTAGCACAATAATTGTAATATTTTTATAATATGATAATGAGATGCAACACATTACTGGACTTATTTTTGGTATGCAAATGAGTATTGAAAGGGGGCAAAATGGCGGGGCAGAGAGACGTTTAGAGTACCAATTCGCGAAAGACTCTCTTCTGTCTCTCGACACGGTATTTCGAGTACGCTGATGTATTCAAAGAGATAATAATACGGGAAGAGCTTTGTGGAACAATACATCGGCCCCTCAAAGGAGATGGTAAATTACATGTCAGTGCGCCGTGCCGTATACCGTGCTCCGCTGTATTCCGTTGTGCTCTGCCCGAGTATTAACTAAGCGCACGTAAAGTATTTTGTTATCTACGTTGGGCTTTTTCTCTCTCTCCGCCGCAAAATGTATTCATCGTCGAAACATCGCACAAAGGAACAATATACGAAGGTTTATATTTTTGTAAACCTCCAATCCCATTTTAAACTCTCGCGTGTCGAACGTTTCTGAATGTATCTCGCGAATCGCCATTATCCACCAAATAATTTATCATGCATTTATCAGTTTTCGGTTGATCGTTGAATGTTTTGCTTATGTAAAATCTCGGATCGTTCTGAGAAGCGCTCGAAACCAGTTAATTATCATTAGTGACATCTACAATTTCCCGAGCTTTAGAATGTCACGAATATTAAATTAACTCGCCATAAACGGTCAGAAACACACGACATAAATTAAGATAATGAGATAATGCGAAACGCACAGTGATTACACGGTTAGAAAGTTCAAATATGTGAAAATGTTTAACTCATCGAGATAGACGCTATTACGCGTCTCTTCTTGACCGTATACTGTTATAATGTAATATAACTGCCGTGTATGCGTACTATATCAGGATGAAAAACGCCGATATAAAACCGGGCCTTTGAAGCACGTGCTTTAAGGCACTCTCGCCGGTCTCGCGATATAGCCTCCAAGGCGCTTGAGAGTCTTCGCTCGCCGCTTTAATGGTTCATTTCGCAACGGGGAAAACTTTAAACATCTCGCCCCGTCTTCGTTTTATGGCTAATCGATGTTTTTACGGCCACGCGCGCGCGGACTCCTCTCGCCACCGCCCGCGCGCGAGCCCGCGCCGCCGCGAATACGATTTCATCGCGGCCGGCGGTCTTTATGCAGTCGCGCTCGCCGCACCGCGACGTGCGGGATATAAACGGGATATAAACGCAATATAAACGCGAATTAATTTGGCATACACATAACGGCTAACGCCTCTTCGTAAATCAGTTCGCTGTTGCAACGTTATCTTCGTACAAACGCCCCCCAGAGACGTATTTTTAGTCCGTTTCGCTGCACAGAAGCGTTATATTTTTGGACCGATGTGCGGTGTTTTGTGCAGCCCGTATCACTGCAGAAATCACCATAATTAGTAGCGCGAAGGCCGCGCTCGCGCGCGTTGCCAGCGGCAATAAATAATCGCCGGCACGAAAGTGATGTCAGCGCGGCCGAGCTGCAACCTCGGCCGAAAGAGGCAGAGCACGCTTTCATATTTCATCGAGTATCTTCCGCGCCATCATAATGAAAAATCCGGGATTTATTATTGACCCGTCTTCGGGTCCGACTTCCCGTTCGATTCCCCGCCGGCGACCGGAAATCGATATATGCAAAATATTTTGATGCCAACAGATTGGGAGGCGACGTTATACGTTACCGCGCGCTCGTGCGCGCGCGACGGAAGATTTATGGAGACAGAGGGACCGGTTTTCAACGTCCTCGGTCAATTTTATTGAACTCTTTCCACCTCGCCACATGCGCTTAAATATACACACGCCACCCGGATACGGGTGTCGCAGTTAAATGTGCAAAGCAATGTAAATATCGACTCCCCTCTCGCGCGCGCGCGGGGGGTGATAATGGAAAATTGAAACGGTGCATTATCGATGTCTCTCTGTTAAGGGCAAAGCGGATTTGGCACGTCCGGTTAGTAACTTTTAATGGGAATTTACCGCCCCGCTTTTATCTCCTTCACGTACCGGAGTGGTTAATGTGTACACCGTTTCTCCACGAGGCGAAAATATTAGACGCGCGCGGATAGAGCGGGCTCGATTCTCCGAGCGCACGCAAGAGAAAGAGAGAGAGAGAGAGAGAGAGAGAGAGAGAGAGAGAGCGCGAGAGAGCGAGAGAGAGTAACGACGCGAAACGTCTCTGAGACTCCGCGCGGGAACTTAACAACGCGGAAGCAAACACACGTCGGTCATACCACCCGTAAGCCCTTCCACAATCTGCGCACCACAGGGCTTTTGCCCTATCGAGTGCCAACGGCCCCCGTTCTCTCATTCGTTCTTCTCATTACTTGAGAAAACACGCGCGCGCGCGCGCGCGTCCAAGCCGCATTTTTCACGGAGACAAACGAACTGGCGCTCACCCACCGCGAGCAAAACGCTAGATCGCTTTTCCAATAGCGACAGAGCATCCACCGCTCGCTCTACCTCGTTTTTTTTCTCCTGTTTTATCGTTGTTTAACGTTAAACTCGCCGCAGCTCCGCGCGAAGGACGAAAATTTGACCGCGCTTTTATCGAGAGAAATAAACTCCCGGGGTCATATTTTTTTATTTGTGAAAGACAGCGGGATTACGCGACTGTATCCGATGTACATACAGGGTGGTCCTTAAATATTTTAAAAGATTTCACGGAGCAATTCTTTACATCAAGACGGAAAAATCACCATTGTATGTGAAAGAAGCACACATGAAATTTGTATTCATTCAAATCGGACGTATTTAGTCTGCACCACAAAAACCGGTCCCTCACAAATCGTTTTCTATCTTCGTGCTCGCTGTCATTGCTACTTCTCTCTCTCCAGGCAATTGATTTAACAACTGTCGTCATTAGTAGTCTCGTGACGTACCATCTGAAACCGAACACCACGCGAAACAAATTACTTTAAAGACATTCAGCGAGGGAGGGGGGGGGGCGCCAATTAATCAAACGGAGCACGGTAAAACAAAACACAAATAATCAATTGAATAATGTTCCATCCGTAAATTTCTACGGAAGCGGCCGGCGCTGGAAGTACGTCATGTTTACGTAACGCTGTAAAATTTATTAAATAAATAAATGCCGCTAATTGGAGATATGAATTTATTTTATGATCGTCGATTAATAAATAAAGTTAACATCGACAGAAAATTAATCGCGTTGAGTAAAGACGAGTGAACGGGGAATATTTCATAATTAGGTGTAGCCCCTATGAATAAAAGTATTCGTAAATATTTATACGGGCAATATTGACGGTACCAAAATATAAACTTCGCTTCGGAGGAGAACGATACCGTTCAATATATCTCTCTCTCCCTCTCTCTCTGTTTGCAGGTAAAGCGAGGCATAATTCAGGGAACAATAACATCCTGGAGGGAAATCAAGACATGCTAAAGGAACGAGGTATACATTAAATATCAATTTAATTCCGACAAAAGAAGATTCAATTCCCACAAAGATTATCTTCACTTCGGCGCTTCTTTTTTTCTTTCTGCACTTACCAATCTCGCGAATGTCATCAAATATAAAGGTACGATTTCGTACTTCGACGCTCATTTTTGGCGTCAAAACGGATTACATAATCAAAATTGACGAATACCAGGCATCATTTCGATCACGTGATCTATTTTAACGCTAAAAATGAGCCAAGCATCAGCATGAAAAGGTACCTTAAAAGATTTTTTGGGTTTTTCGCAAAAATGAAGAAACAAAATAACAAAAATATAAACGAAAATTATTCTTATTTTCGAAGGCAAACTTTCAATTTCTTGATTATTAGCTCTGATCATACGTTTCACAATCTCTCTCTTTCTCTGCCATCGTAGATCTGAAACTACGAGGCCGTAAGGAGAACGGCGGCGACGTAGCGGACTACGACGAATCCAGCGCAACCAGCAACGGCAGCTCGTCCCTGCTGGTGATCCTCGTCGCGCTGTGCCTGTGCCTCCACCATCGTCCGCAGATGCGAACGCTGCACCCGGCCTGAGATCCACCCACGACGGTCCTGCACGCCATCGCACGCGTAATCCGATCATCGAGCCATCATCATCGTGACTTTGTACATCCACTTGTAAAATCCATCGCTCAGGGACTTCCGTCGAGGATGAATATCGTCGAGGACTGCGTTGACCACTTTAAACTTAAAACGATAGGATAATAATATTATAAATATAGCGTTTTAGCGGCGGGCTTAGCCCCCTTTCCCCGCCCTCGGCTGCTGGCGCCGCCGCGCGGAGAGAGTTCGCTAAGGGAGGATTACGACTTAAGGGACAGTCATTACCGCGGACAGTTTCGAAACCAGAGTTCGGCTGGCGGCAAATCTACCCCATGCGGCCGGAATCACGGTTACAATGTTGGGGAAACGCCTGATTTATTTTAGGGTTGCATTAGCGGCGTTGCAGAGATAAACTGAAACATCCATAAATTTTGTGCGTTATCATGAACAGCGTCGAGGTATTATTTTTTTTATTTTATTTTTATTTTTTATTTTTTTTTTAAGAAAACTAAATTAAGTTGCTCTCTCTTTCTCTCTCATCTATCACATCTCTCTCTCGTTCTTATTTTTCTCATCGTCTGTCTAGCTTAACTCTAAATTGAAAAGAAAGCTTGTACTGTGATCTGCCCATTTTTGAGGATTTAATTTATTTATTTGTAGCTAGCCGATATTCCATGTAACTGAAATAACGTTGCATACAGCTAATAAATTCTTTATGAAACAATAAATGAGTGAGCAGTATCCTTTATCGAACGAGAAAGCACGCATTTTCCTCTGCGATCGATTCTGACAACAAGCGGTAAACAAAAAAAAAAGTGTCCATTGAAGACGAAACGGACAACGTTCGCGGAGAAGAGCGGGGAGCAACGAACGATGGACAGTTTCGTACTGTTTCGCGTCATTTTTAATTGGCTACCCACGATGGTATCCCGACGTCGGACGACTGTTACGAAGCGACGGCCAAACGATGCAGCGACGCAACGATGCGGCTACGGCCGGCAATTGCTGGAAAAGGCAGTTACTGTAGACGCTTATTAGAGGGGCTCTATGCTAGAGCGGAGGTGTCCAATTCTGAGTAAAGGACGAGCTGCTCGGACAGTTTCGAGCTTCGTGCACATACTTCCGCTGATCTTTCCCCCGTAAACTTTTAAAAGTGCATCATGCATGTTTCCAAGAATAGAATTTATACGTTGCGCGTAAGGAAAAATATACACAATAAGGTTTGTACATTTTTATTTATTTATTATAATTGTCTTCATTTTCAGCGAACAATTAAAAATACATGTCAGGTCCCAATTTTATTTCTTTACGAAAGTTAATACTTTTGAATGCTACAAAAATAGCAATGTTTTTCTTCTATACTATCCCATTAAGCAAAATCACTGGCTCAACATATTAAAATGTTGATTTTATTGATTTTTATATTTATTTTATAAATTTTATCAATCTTCTTGCATAATATTCTATAATTGTTTTTAAAATATTATCTAATAATATATATTTCTGAATATTAAGAAAATGTTTTATACCAAATATTTTATAAATGTTGCGCTGATAATAATTTTAGCGCAACATCATTTTACTTTTATTAATATTGAAATTTACAGACATTTTTGTTCTCTGATATTCTTATTTTAGAAAGCGTTTTATTTCTTCTTTTTTTGGATTCTTTTCTCACAAGCTATTCGAGCCACAGCAATGTCTGTACGTCTGTTCGTCACGCAATTTAACTCGCATCTCGTATTTTAGATATAGATTCTATTACCATGTTACTTTAGAAAGCGTTTGATTTGTCTTTTTATGGAACATGTATAAATTCTTTAAATTCTGTCTCGACAAAGTTATTTAAGTCACAGCAAAAAAAAAACGCGAGTTTGCACTAGCACGATTTAACTCGTCTCGTAAAGTAGACAGCTGTCTTTTCATATAAAATATAAATTATTAATAATTTTTTAGAGCTGCATCAACGCAGGGACATCGATTGGCGTCGTTATACATACATTGACTTTCCGTAAATTCTGACTTGCGACTTAAGACGATCGCTGTGTGCATAGAGTAATAACACTAGCATTAATCTTATAGAATAACCGAGAGGCGCGTTATATTAAAATAGTCATTCGCTTGAATATTCGCACCAAAAGAGAGAACCTCGGCAGACATCCTGAACTCTCTGTTCATCAGAATTTTTACCGAGGCGGACGTTCGCGTTAACAAAAACCTATTCTATAACGACTCTTTGTATAGTACCATGTATAATATATTGACATACTATGTATAGAGTATTAGTATGTAATTACTGGTATATATATCGTATATAGGCAGTATGTATACACACATGTGTGACAATGTTACATCGGCGTCTCTTCGACTTTCTCCCAGCGGAATATCAAATTAATGATTTATCTTATTCTCGTACAAATCTCTTACGGAAATTTAATACTACTGGAAGTGCCAAATAATTACTTATTTTAAGTATTAAGGGCACTAAGAGGAGTGTTTTTAATCAAAATAAGCAGTTATATCTGGCAGTATTAAATTTTTGTAAAGGATCTTGCCTAACTCGTTATAATATAAGTAAAAATGTGATTATTTATTTATAAATCTTTTCATTTCAAGAATTTAAATAAAATAAAGATATAAATTCTGTAATTTCAATTCGCGACAAATGCAAAAAGTAATACTCAAAGAGAATACTTGACGCTTCAGTAATCCTATTTTTCTCAAAGTAAAAAATACCAGAGAGAGAGTGTATATCGTAATCTGTATATAATAATGCGTAATAAGTACAAGACTGAGGAGGCTCTTGCGGTCTTGAAATAATTCCCCGAGTGGTCGATGTATTGCGTGTGAATAGATCTCACTCTTTATTATTGCTCTAAACGTTGTACATACCAGAATAGGCCGGCGATGAATTAATATCTATACCACTGCCGCATTGATATACGTGGCGAAGATTATCATTTCTTTCGTAAAATAAAATAGATACGATTTCTCGACAATATCCGACAAACACTCGCGAGAGGTGAGACAGTTTATTTAATTGCGTTTGGCGGCGTGTGAATTAATATTCATTAAGACGTCTGTCACACACTCTTACTAAGACTGTATTCTATTAATTTATTCTATGAATACGCAACCGATAGTTACAACTGCAATTTCCGTATCATTAACTATTAACGTCGCGCAACGCGTATCAATATTTGCGTCGTAATCGATGCAAATATTCGCGGAGGCTTCACTTAAGCTGTCAGAGCTTCGGATAACACATTCTATAAACTGGGACACCCTGTAAACGGTCTGAATCATAGTACAATATCACGACGCGGAGCTTGCACATGGCGCGCTTTGTGTTTTCGTTCGCTGATGTATGTATACGTATGCAAATAGAGGGGCTTATTATTGAATATCGGACATGAAAGAGAGTTCTGAAATAGGTTAAGCGGACTGCAATAAAGAAAAACAATAGAAGAATAAAGGAGAAAGAGATTCGAGTCTTTCTTACTCTGTTAGAAAGTCGGTTATCCGCGCATTGAGAAACCAAAAGGAAAATGGCACGAAAAATGGTAAACGAGCGTACGAAAGCGTATTACGAGAATAGAATTTTGCCACGGAAATAAAATGATTGATCAGTTCACTCTCCGCGTATAGAGGTAATTAATTTTACACAGCCCTCCGTTTTCATGATTCTATCTCTGACATAAAGATTTAGCTACTTTTGGTATACAATGCAATTTCCTGTCAATAAATTAACATCTTTTTGCGAGCTCGATTGCGACTGCTTGCAATTAACTTTGTACATAGGACGGCTTTGCAAGCTTAAACACTCCAAACTGAATAGCGCGGACATCGATATCTGACGTTGGTTAAATATACTCCGAAATGATTATATGACGGATACAGTTTGGAAGGATAATACTGCGGAATATTGTACATTTCTCTGCAGAATATTGTATATAAGAAGACATATCACACAGATATCTGCATGCTTTCGATATAAAAAGTGAATGAATAATTTTAATACATTTATTATCTGTAAAATCGAGTCGTAATGAAGTATTGATTTTGCAAGAGCTGTCACGTTAGAAATTTTAATAAGTTCAGACGTAGCCATTTAAAAATACACAAAATTATAATTTTGCTCGAAAATATGGACAGTACGGTTAAGATACAATGTGATTTTCGATTAATTCATAAAATTCATTGAAATTTAATTTAATTTAATTTTAAACAATTATTAAATATGAAGATCAGACCAGAAATGACATTTCTCCCCACTTAGTTGCGTTATTCACGTATCGATTTAGTGCCACTTATTGCAAATTTAATTTAAGTATCACCGACACATGCGAATTCTGTAATTCAGAATGTTCAACGTCTCAATTTGATCATTACGTATTGCGTATCGAGTAGCGTATTCATCAACAATATTTCACGCTGCAGCTGTGCGGAGCTTAGGCGTCATCACGGATTATTTACGAAGTAATTTAACGACTGCGACAATTAAACAATATATATCGAAGATATTCAGAGCAACTACTTTTGTATCATCGAGACATTGTAGATAACACATCGAACGCACCGGACATGCTATATTCCGCGAGTAAGTAATCGCGGAAAGTAAGTGCAGAATTTGTAAAGATTAATATACGAAAAAACGTAGCTAAATAAAAAAAAACTGTAGCGATTAAATGCGTGGCGAGTACCGTGTGGGTATATATATAAGGAATAAACATTAAAATGTCATAGTGTGTACAGGTAGAATGCATTATCTGTGCTGATTGGTGGCGTAACTGTATATGTCTCTGCGTAATGTAATAAAAACGCGGGAGTTCTCTTTTTCTCGCTCTCTTTCTCTCTTCGAAATCGTCATTGCATTTCGCAAAATTTTGCTACGAGAATAAGTTCCCATCGCAACAAAAAAGAAACTGTAACAAATTGTACTTATACCGACGACGATATAAGAGACGACGTTTATTTCTCATCTCTGACAGTGAAAATTCAAACCGCGACTTTACAAATCATGTCTCCGCAATAACTGCTGGTATAGATCAGTGTGTAACTAGCTAATTAAGTTAGTCGATCAATAAACGAAACGTAGATTAACATGATGATGTTCAATTGCGTAGCTGTAACGGCAATTAACGCTGCGACACTGGATCCGATCTGGTTGCGCCACTGCCCGTGTGCTTCTCGCACGCGATCTAGTCCTGTAAGCACACTATCGGCATCGGGAGGAAATAATGTCCGTGTATACAGTGAAATACAGATTTATTACTTACTTTTTATCGTATATATCTTGGTTCCCGAAAAGCTCGAGCGACATTTTCAATTCCTGCGCGAATATAGCGTTCGTTTTTCTTCCTTATAATTCAGTTTCCATTGACGAGATCGCTTGTAAACGAATCTATTTTGCAAACGGAGAATTAAATTATTGACAATAATATTATTTTGAACTCTCTGCTCTCAATATATTCTGTACGCATTTTATGATGATTCCTTAATTAACACAAAATTATTTTTTTCTCTTTCAGAAGAACGCATGCAAACATATGGAAAACAGTGGAGAACAATAATGTAAAAGTGCAAAAATGCAGAAATATATTTTGTAAGACTGAAGATATTCAAGATAATAGATTAAATTGGTAAAAAGTACGTATATTTTAATTAATCTACGTTATATTACATTATATCAATTTACTTATTGAATTCCAAAAATTTTTAGAATTTCTGAGTTCATGGACTCAAACTAATAACAAATAAAATTCCTAAAAATCATTAGAAGCTGCAAATATATTAACTTAAAAAATATTTACAAAATTAAATAAAAATCACAAAAAATCGAACTTTAAAATTTATTAGGCGTTCTTATGTTTCCAATATTATAAATATTATAATAGTACAAATAATTTAAAAAATTTTAATTTTAAATAGCATAAGATCAAAAGAATATAATCAAGTAAAAAATGCCGCAAATGAAAACTCCATTGCATTTCGGAAAACTCCAACTTTATTATATCTTTCTTTGGTCTACAGTACGGACAAGATAATCTAGAAAGGAGCGAAATAAGTTAACTGTCGTTATTCGATTTTAGTTTTCGTAAACGGTCGCTATACAAATTAATCCGCACCAATGCAGACTAATTATGTTCTTAAGAAGGAATAATAAAAGCGAAGGGGGTAAATCGATTTTACATTGATATTGTATTGAGTAGTACACAATAATTTTATGCTATTAATTATTTAATTAACTTTATTACAAAAGGCTCTATCAAAGAACAGAAATTCATAAATTAATAAAACGTGAAATAGGATTTATACAAAGTAGATTGAATACTCGATATTTATTCACTCCATTTGCATTCGTCCATTCAGTAACAACGCGATTCATTTCTACTATTATGGAAACGTAATCCTCTTTACAATACATTTCGGGATTGCTTTTGCCTATGAAGTTTCACTCAAAGTCATTCTGTGATATCAATGTCTAATAAAGCGGTAATAAGCTCACTCAAAATTGATCTTTCTCATCGACAGGCGCTACGACTAACAAAAATCTGGGTTTAAGTGGTACACGATACTTACGGAGATTAAATTGCGCAAATAATTTATTTAGCTAGTCGCTCAATCAATAATACGCGTTTAATATTAAAAGTACTAACGCTTCTTTTACTTAAAGGATTAAGCAAATTACTATAAATAAAAAAAATAAAATCAATTTTAACAGTATAAAAACATAATTATTGAGTCAAACAATTTCAGAATTCTATTTTTTACACAAAAATATAATATTAATTTAAAAAATAGAAACGGTGTTAGTCAATTGATACTGTTAGTATTAAAACGATATATATAATTTTAGACTTAAGTAGAGACTAAATTTACATCAATTTTAAACGCTTTTAGTCGTAAACTTTAAATTTTTTAACGTTATATAGTTTTAATGTACAAAAATTTTGTTAAATTTCCCAATTAATTAATATCGTTTGTGTTATAAGAAATATATGCGCGCGTTTAGTTATTTTTTTGTGTGAATGATACATACAAGAAACTACGTTTTTATAATGGGATCGTGTACCACCTTATAACAACATACAAAGCTGGCTGCAATTATTTACAACGATTCCATTCACTTTACAATACGTAATCGTAGCCTAGTCTTGTATTTAATATTTACATCCGGATTCCAGGAGCTCCTGAGAGTTGTGACATATATCGTTCATATCGAGGGGGGTTTAATTGATGTAGAGTGTGTAACACTTAAATTAATTCCCAAAATTCGATTGTATTATTGAGCGGACGTTGAATTTTCTCACGTCAATGTAAATGCAGATATATAAGTCCTGATCACTTGACGTTTCACACAACGCGCCATTTTTCCGGTGCAAAACTTGTCATGCGCGGCACAACGAGGTGGCGCTTGCAGACGCTTCGCTTCTCTGAACCGCGAGTTTTCGAATTGCTGTCATTCGATAACAGCGTAATAAGAAGATACATATACGCGAAAAGAACGGTTGTTGAAGTATCCAAAAATTTAGCTAGGTACAGATATGAAAATAATTTAGACTATCAAAATAATTATATAGGAAACTCAAGCACGATGAGCGATGCTGCAAAAAGTTTTGATAGATATTCTAGCAACCTTGAAAAAGTTCGACCAACCCGCATAATTATTTTGATGGTCCAACAAAATTATTTCCAGATCTGTATCTAATCAAAAATTTTTTTAGATACTTCAAGCAAAATTGTTCTTTCCGTGTAAGTAATACGTCGCAAAAATATTTTAGATATTTTCGGCGAAGAAATACGAATTACTAATTTCGGAGTGTCAGTATAAATTTCTTTTTACGTATAAATTATCAAAGAGTATCTTAACAATCGCGCTTGATTGAACTACGTTAGGAACGTTACGTTTTCTTCGGTTATAAAACGCAAAACAGTATTTACTTTAGTGATTTAGTCCTAGGTGGAACAACGCAAGGAGAATGAGATACCTCTCTTAATTTCGTCCTGATACGTGTGTCGGGGATACAATAACTTCATTTGCAGAAACACATCCACATATATAAAAACGTCGACAACTACTCACACTCTTATTTTATATTCGCGCTCGAGGGGGGAGGGGGGAATGGGACTTAATATATACAAAACCGTCCTTATCGATACAATTAGTACAGCGATAATATTCATGGAAATGTCCATACGCGATCGTAACATTATTTACAAATATATGCAAGTGGATTAATCCTCGGAAATTTACACAAGTCCCGGTTGCTTCGTTGCATCTTACGCATTGCATTTTCGAGCCACTCTTCGAATTTCGCACACACGTTTCTCACACTAATTTCTACGCTTACATACTAATTTATACATTTAGCCTTAGTAGATCGATTAACCCTCTGCACTGACAGTTATATTCGAACAGAGTTATAATTAAAGCAGGTACACACAATAAAAAACGATCAACTAGAGAATGTTTTAAAATTGTCAGTGCATTGCGATAAACGTTAACATATTGATTGCTGCGTCATTTACAAACTACTGACATAGAAAATATTTCAAGCTTCAAGATCCACTGTCTAACCGTCAGCTGATTTGTGCTCTACCATTTTATTTGTGACGAGCGTTTCAACGCAATAATTCTATATGATTAAAATTGGATCGTATCCTTTAGTTAATGTGACAGACGGCATAGAAGTGCAAAGGGTTAACTAATTTTTGTATATACAATAAAGTTAAATTAAATATATTACATTACAAATAAAATTAAGTGAAACGCCATCACTTGCAAAAGTAATGCTCAAGGAATGGCCTCAATGCATGCCCGCGAGTATTGAGACTCTGTGCAAAATGAATGTACAGAAATATTGATATAAAATATAAATGATCGTTTTAACATTTTAAATTATCATTAAATTACATTATTAACATCTCGATATATAAATATTATAAATTTCTACACATTCACGCGAATCACTGACGAGTGTTATTTACCAATCGAGTAGGCCGAATTTTTGCTCGAGTCTATAGAAACGATATGGATGAGCGGTGGAAACGCGAGTATAATTAGTGCAGTATATTCAGTACATATCTTACATGAGAAATTTCCGTCCTCGTTTCAGATCTGGTGTAACATTTTCTTTTTGTAATAAATCATCCAGAGATTGTGCTAAGCCGCAAGACAAAAATGCGACAGATATTTTAACGTGTATAAACAAAAAAAAAAGACGCGACACGTAGATATCTTCAGATCTCGGAAAAAATACTCGTCGCAATCGATCTTCCTAACGATATAATTACGATTCGAATGCGAGTATCAAATTTCTCCCGAGGTAAGCCGCTCACACGCGAAAAGAAAAAAAAATCAGTCGACCCCTTTGAGGGAAATTGGGAGATCTCGTTTCGCGCTAACGATGCGCACGATTTGAAAGCCTCTCTGCCGATAGAAGAAAGATTGCGAAGAAGGATGGTGGTGATCGGTGAATCAGATAAGGAAAATGGTCGTCACGCTGTCATCATTCCCGGGATACGTCCGATAGGGATGGCTTCGAAAATCCGCTGACACGTCGAAGAGATTGGGAATGATTATCGATCCTTTACGGAAAGGCAGGGAGATCTCTGATGGTAATTAAAGGTAAACAAACGATTCAACTGGAATGAAACAACGTTAACGTTGTTGTAACGCAGATGTTAACACATTGATTGCTGTTGTATAATTAACTAACTTAATTTGTACACCACGCCATTTTTATATTAGCATGTTATATTTTTAATATGCTACTTGATTATATTGATTCATGAAAATTTAAATAAATTTTTACTTTTCCTTTCGAACAATCAGATTGGCGAAGAGCTGACGTTCATCTGTAGATCGTCAGCGAGTACTATCTTTTATTTGGCAGCCAATACGTTAAGTACATTATTGCACGAATTATATTTATTATCGTCAGTTAATAAGTGACGCTTATTGCAAACAAACTTAACACTAGAATTATCAAAGCCTATCAACTAATAATGAAAATGACTGATTTTATAATTTTTTATCAAATTTATAACGATATATAAGTGCAAAATGGTTGATGAAATATCAAAATTGTTTGATATTCTGACATAATGTTTTCGATCTAGTTTTTGATACAGTCTAACAAAATTTATTTTTAGATATGTATCCAGCAGAATTTTAATTTTAATTTTCAGCAAAATTGTTCTTTCCATATTGCAGGTGTACTAATTGTACACTAATGTCGGTAATTCTAGTGTTAAACATCGATAACAATATTAAGAGATAACAACACCTTTGCTCAAAATGTATAGCGTTAGTGAATTTTACAGAAGTAATTAAGAACGCATTTTTTCCTCAAGTTGGACATAAAATAATCTTCGTATCTGCGATATCGTCCGCAAACCTTGTCTTTCCCAATCTAAATGCCATCCTTGCGCAATAACATAAAAAAGCGAAACAAGAGAGGAAAAAGGGTGACGCGATTTTGTTATAACGATCATCTAACACGAGTAATGTGTCGCCTTAAACAGAGGCAAGATAAATTCATAGTCCCACTATGATTAACCGTCTTTCGGATGTTCGGCCGTCAACAGTCGCGGATCTTTCGACCAGGTCCACGCTATTCGCCCGTAAGAATTCGTTCGGTTTAATTGATCCCTTGCGCGGAGTTGTGGAGGAAAGACTGCAGGATTTAATAACGCTGCAAACTGGAAGGACAGTCGCGAACTCAATCATCCTCGCTCCGCCGCGACGACTACGACAGGGCGGTGAGCACGATTATGCAGATCGCCGCGCTGGCTCGACGCTGCACGCGATGCCACGTGCTGCTTTTGGACGACATCGACTGCGCCGTGTTGTCGATTCTACGCTGTCCGACGTCGCTATCGACGCTTTTACGGCTGTCGGTGTCGATGACGTTCTCGGCTTCGTGACTCTCCTCGTGGCTCGGCCTGCCACGGAGTCGCGTTTCTGAAAACAATCGATCGTGTATATTATTATCCGCAGGGTGCTCAATAATAGATTATATGGCGACGTTTTGCGACTGTCAAACGACACGATCACAGATGCCACACGTTCGTGCGACAGGAATATTCAAAAACGAGAGCCGAGGGCGAGAAGACTCGGCGGGGGGGGAAAAATTTATAGTTCCTTTCTACTCCCGAGGATAAGACGGGAGAAAGACGCGGTGAATCTCCTCCAATATTCTTACCGTATATTACGTATTCTTTCTGGGAACATTTGCTTACGGTAGACGTCGACATTTTATATATCTATCTATCTATATAATATATATA